TTCCCGGTCAATTGCGTGGAAGTCGATGGTACTACTAACCGAGCAACGAAGCCAAGCACGATGGAGCAGGTGGAGCGCGAGCAGCTGGTGTAAGAAAGCGCGCGGAGCAGAGAGGAGTTGAAAGGGCAAGAAAGGCAGGAGCAGGAGCAAGTGGAGTAGGAAGAGCGCGCGGAACGAGGAGCAGTGGTCAGGGCAGGAGACCGTGCTTCCTTTCTTTTGGTAACCCAGAAATGTCAACGCAAAGGTTTTGTATCCGGGTAATAAAAAAGGGCCGCGCGCGCAGCGTCGCAAAGAGACAGTAGTATGACCTAATTTGTTGCCATACAAAACCCTGCCTTGGGTAACACCTGACTTAAGACAGCCAGCAAGCCTAGGGACTGAATGCCAAAGGGTTATCCAGCCCAAGGCACCACCCGAACTTAGAGCATCACCACCACTAGAGAGCTAGCGCATTTAAACGCTTTTGCCTGAATGGATAAAAATGCAGTCAAGTTTCTGTTCTTTCTACGTTGCCTGAAAACTTGCCTATTCATTGAGAAAGCTTTCAGCAGTGCTACCAACTTCAAACTTTTTGAGTCAGGGGAGAAAAAGTGCAACATTATTGGCACAGCCAGAGCTTCTATATGTAGTCTGATATGGCGCACCCTAAAGGCTATACTTTGAATTCTCCGCCACGTAACAACGACTCACTCTCTCCGGATAGAAAGGGGTTGAAAGCCGCTCAAGCGTCTGAACAAAATGCGGTTCACCCACTTGCAACCAGTTAGAACCGAGACGGACAAGACCTGTCGTTAAGCCTCTCGGGACGGCTGTGGACCGGACGCCCTGCTACGTAGCAGGTCATATGGCATCATATTAGGCCTAAAAACTGGTCTTGTCTCTCTTGGTCGTACTCAATCGCAAAAGTGTGAACAGCGCCTAATTCCCAACCGTAAATGGCTCTAAGACAGCAATCAAGGTGTGGGCCACTGGCTTAATTTATTGCAGCCACATGCATAGGTGTATCAAAAGAAGTATAATTCGCGTGGAGGGAGCGCGTTTTATTTGGAGGAGCGCACAGCATAAACACCGAGCGCACAGTTGTCCATAACACTATTTTCCCAGTTTGTGACCTACGACTTGCTTCTTTATTCAATAAAAAAAAAAGAAATACCGCTTACACTTTTTTCTACGTTATTTATGAATGGTATGCAGCATTTAAGGAGAGATCAATTGAATCTCTGAAGAAAAAACGAAATATTTCTTTGATAATTCCTTATGGTCGTTTATATCGTTTATTAAATGCATAGCTTTTATGGGGTCAATATTGTGCATTTCGTGTCCGCGGCGTGTAGCCTGGATGATGTCAAAGTGTCACGTGACACCGTGAGGCACGTGATATTGAGACGTCATGGTATCGCGTGACATTACGTCCTGTCACCCGGACATGGTGACGTCACGTCCTGACGTCATCATGCCAAGTCACGTTGCCTCGTGACATCACGTGACAAACCGACGTCAGGTTGCACCTTGAGCCATGTAGGTAGGAAGGAGATGGGACAACATACCGGTTCAATCCAGCTAAACAAGCAAACCCCAAGGGAAGGCGGAAATAGAGGTCGCGGTCGGTGAGAGCACTCCCCAGGATGAACAAAATAGCTGTTGGCGCCAAATCAGCGGTTTTTCCGTCCAATAGCGTCCTTTGTTGTTTTTTTCGGTTGTTGTCATTTTTGGAGCCGTGTCCCTCCAAACTGGAAGTCTCCCCCGGCTTCCCCCCTAGTGGCGTCGTGTCGCCTCAAGGAGTTTCCTTCGTCCATGCCGTGAGGGGGAATCACGCCCCGAATGGAGGTAGAAAGCTTTCTAAGGCGACTTGACGCCACCGGAGAAGGTGCCGTGTAACCTAGCGTTTGGGTGCAGTGTCAAAATATTAGTTTCGGAAATTATTCCTCCGTCCTCCGCCGGAACGTGTTTGATGCCCTTTGCTGGTTTGGCTCGAAAAAGCCCAAAATTGGACTTTCGTTTGACACCGGGATGGCACGTGACACCATATGAGATTTTGACGTTCACGTCACGCTGTGACCTCACGAGGCATGACGACATCACGTCACACTGTGACGTCACCTAAAATCTTGACGTTATGAGATCGCACCTGACACACGGATGTCACGAAACAATGTTACGTTACGTGACATCAGGCGTCGCGTCACACGCTGACTCCACGTGATATCAGACGTCACGTGGTCATGTCACACCATCGCACGGCATCCACACAAGAGGGCAGAACCGGAAGCGAGCCGAACCGAGACGAAGTCGTCATTCAAATCTTGGAACTTAAGCGCAAGTGAACCAAGAAACTACCTCTCAAAAAGCGCAAAACGATTTGGGCCATTTTTTTTCCATCTTCATGAGATGTGTATTTGAGAATAAATGCATTACCGCCGTTTTTTTTTTACTTTTAAGATCCCGTGACGCAACTGGTGTCAAGTCACTATGTAAGAAGACACCATGGTGTCACGTCACGTCGATGTCCCCGCTAACTTTAGCGGAAAACACACAGGCAGACGAACGGAGTGACACATTTCTGTGTGTAGGACTCACCATCCCGCTGGCAAGCAGATGAAACAATAACCGCTGGCCTAACGCCCCCTTCGTGGACATGGGGTTTTGTCGCTGTGGCATTTACTTTGGGATGCAATGTGCTATGATCGTTTGCTGCCAACGCCAAGAGGGGAGACCCGAACGCTGCGCGCCATAGCGCGGTTACGCGACTCTCGTCCTTTAAGACGTGGGGGCATAAAGCGCTGGATAACCTGACTTATCCAAGTACCGCGATGGTTTGATCGTTCCGCGGGCCCTCCTACTGGATGTCGGCCACGCACCGCCAAAGTTGGCTCATGCCGCATCCTACATACAGACGCGCATGCTCCTCTCGATCTGCTGAGGATGCCGGTGACGCGCCGCCGTTTGCTAGCACGCTTGTATAAGTCTAGGGCAGAGGCAAGCGCCGCGCTGCCACGCAAAACTAGATCGGCGGAGTCGCTTTGCCATTTTTGGCCAAAGTGCGTCCCAACATGCACGATCTTGTGGTACTAAGAAATTTTATCAAATACATGTTTGTTAGAAATCGGAACAAATGGACAGTCTTGCTCTGTAGCGAGGCGATGTCGTTCAGGCGCCTCTCTCTTCTTCGGTGGAAGAAAAGAGAGGCGAGCTTATTGATAGCAAAAATAGCAGGAGCAGCATGAAGAACCTCCACCAGAGACCCCGCGTAAGAACGCCGAGGGGTGCACACCTCTTTTGTTCGGTTCTATGCACACCTCTTTTGTTCGGTTCGGAAACAATAAAGGGAAAGAGGTGACAGCTACAGCAGGTAAGCAGAAAGAAAAGCCGTGCTGCTTGCGTGGTTCGCGTCCTCACTGAAAAAGTACGCGAGCGCCGCAACTCCTACGTGTTTTGAAAAGCGCGCGCGTTTTTCCTGCAGTGCATGGTATCGTGCTCGTCCTGTTTGGACAGCCTTTAACAGTGCATTTCTGGTTAACGTGTTTGGAAGTTAACAGAAACTAATGCGCGAGAACAACAAATAAAATTATAGTAATGTAATAAGTTGGACGAATTCGTAAAAGTCGAACGTGTTGAAAAATCGTGCATGAACAGACAAGGTCGAAAGGCGACCTTCCAGTTTCGCCCTTCCTCTTTAGTCTTTGTGACTTTCTTTTTTCCCTTTTGTCCTTGTTTCTTTGAGCGCAATTTTCCATTACGTTCAAAGATAAAATTATAAAGTAGCCGATCCCGAACTCTAATCGAATATGATACAAATAAACACTCCACCCTCCGAACGAAGCGGTTCCAATGTCCTCTACGTGAAACAAAAGCTAGTAAAATGACACGTTAGGGCAATCCTTAAAACCATGCTCCTTAAGGGCCAGTTCACACACTTGCAATCGAGGAGGACCAGCTTAGACAAGACCGGTTTTTAAGCCACTTGCAACGGTTTACGACCGGATGCTCTGCAACAGCGCTAGTCAGAAGCTGGTTGTAGTCCGTTGGAGTCAAACCCGGAAGTGTGAGCGGGCATTTAGGCTACACCCGCGTGATCCCTGCTGTTGTATCAGCGATTTTGTATTCTACGCTGGCCTTGTCATGTATCAGCAGCGCGGAGCGCACGTTATTGCCTGTCGTGATAAGCAGCGCCGCCGGGTAATCTTTTATTCGTTTTTACTTATATAAGAGAAACGCGAACTGTATGCACAGCAGATGCTGTCTGGCAATAAATGTGTTGAAACAGACTGCGTTGGCCTACGTAACACATGGCGACGAGGATGGGATCGTGAAGCCAGACCAGTCAGACGCAATGACGTCCTCCCTAGGAAAGCTGGCAGAGTTCTGGCCGGACATAGGCAACATCGACGTCTATCTCGAAAGCTTCGAGCTGTTTTCAAGTGCCAACGGAATTGACGCCAGTAAGAAGTTGCCAGTCTTCTTGACAGTACTAGGAGAAAAGGCTTACGAGACGCTACACAGTCTGCTGTTGCCGAAGACGCCCACCGAGGTGAAGTACGAAGATGCGGCGAAGGTACTAGAGCAGCACTACGCGCCGAAACGGTCCGTGGTTACCGAGCGGTACCACTTCTATCGGCGACACCAGGAGCCAAGGGAAAGCATCGCACAATTTATCGTGGCCCTGAAAACACTGGCTTCGACGTGTTCCTTTGGAAACTTCCTTGAGAACGCTCTTCGAGACCGGCTGATTGCCGGACTGCGGACGGACGCCATCAGGTGCCGTCTTCTTGCGCTACCGGACAACCAGGTCACATGGGAGCGAGTCTGCAACATCGCCACTGCCATGGAAGCCGCTCAAAAGGAGACCAAGGACATGCTGGGTGACACCGCCGCCACAAGCTCCGAGGACGTGCACTGGCAGCGGGGCATTGGCAAGCCATGCAAGCCAGACGCGACAAAGCAACTAGCAACGAGCAGCGAGAGGTCAGCCGCCAGAAAGGTACCTGCAAAGAAAGACCAACCAAAAACTGTTCGCGCTTGTCATAGATGTGGTGGACAACATGCACCTGCAAGTTGCCCTTTCTTGACTAGCCGCTGCTTTAAGTGTTCAAAACCAGGACACGTAGCCAAAATATGTAAGACAAAGGTCGTGCACAAGTTTGAGGAGACAGTGAAAGAGAAAGACTTGCTTGAAAATTGTAAAGCGAACAATGCTAGAAGTCCGCCTCCCATCGTTGTTAGGCTGAGGTTGAACGGTAAAGAAATTCCAATGGAATTACATACCGGCGCTGCTGTGACTATAATGTCGGAAAAAGACTTTGCCGAGCATTACCCAAATACAGCATGCCGGAACGAAGATGTCAATTTCGGAGTGTACAATGGTACTTCCATTGGCGTAAAGGGAGTCGCGCAGGTAGAAGTTAGCTATGGGAATCAAACCTATCACTTGACACTCGTCGTTGCGAGACAGGAAAACGGTGCTAGTATGCCGGCTCTTCTGGGTCGTGACAGGCTCGCGAAAATTAAAATAGACCTGCATGACGCCGTGCAGAATCTACACGAAGTTGTGCTTAACGTACAAGCGGTAAGAAACACGGAAACAGAGGAGGCAGAAAAATGCCTAAAAGAGCAGTAGGCTGACATGTTTGAGCCCAGGTATGGAGCTATCAAAGGTTTCAAAGGTAGCCTTAGGTTAAAAGCCGACGCAAATCCCTTTTTTTCTAAGGCGAGACCTGTTCCATATGCTTTGCGCGAGCAGGTGGAAAAAGAATCAGCAGATTTAGAAAAAGCCGGTGTCATTTACCGGGTCAGGCACAGTACGTGGGCCACGCCTCTAGTGATCGTGCCGAAAAGTGGTGGCGGAGAAATAAGGATATGTGGTGACTACAGAGTAACGGTGAACCAGGCCATTGAAGTGGACCACTATCCTTAACCACTTCCTGAGGACATCTTTACGACCCTGGTTGGTGGAACCGTGTTTACAGTTTTAGACCTCTCTAGGGCCTACCTACAGCTCGAGCTGGACGAGCGAGCGCAAGCGCTGCTCACGGTAAACACACATATGGGCCGTTTTAGGCTCCAGCGGTTACCATATGGCGCAGCAAGTGCACCCGCCATGTTCCAGGCCGTGATGAACCAGGTTTTGCAAGGCATTCCTGGTGCTGCCTGTTACTTGGACGACGTGCTGATTGCTGGCGTAGACCAAGCAGAGTGCTACAGTCGCACAGAGCAAGTGTTAAAGGCACTGAGTAAACACGGCATCAGGGTGAACGCAACGAAATGCAATTTTTTTCAAGAACGAGTTCAGTACCTGGGACACGAGCTAGATAACCAGGGTCTGCATTCCACAGCAGACAAGGTGAAGGCCATTCGAGATGCGCCAAAACCCAGTAATGTGACAGAGCTTAAAGCCTTTTTAGGCTTCGTAAACTTCTACGCAAAATTTTTGCCAAATCTTGCAAATTCGCTAGAGCCTCTCCACCAGCTACTACGCAAGGGCAACGTATGGAACTGGTCGAGCCAGTGTGACGAGTGTTTCATACGTCTTAAAGAGCTGCTCAGCCGCAACATGGTTCTAGAGCTGTATGATGTGAAAAAAGAAATACAGCTGACATGTGACGCCTCGGCGTATGGTTTTGGTGCGGTTTTGTCGCACGTGGTCGATGGCGTAGAAAAACCGATAGCGTTTGCGTCACGATCTATGACTCCAGCAGAGCGTAACTATGCGCACATTGAAAAGGAAGCGCTGGCCATCGTCTTTGAAATAAAAAAATTCCATAAGTATCTGTATGGACGCACCTTCACCGTAGTAACACATCATCAGCCACTTGCGGTGATGTTCGGTGCAAAACACCATAGCAGTGCAGTAGCGGCTGCTAGAGTGCACCGTTGGGTCATATTATTGTCAAAGTATCAGTTCCGCATTCGGCACAAAGCTGGGAAAAAAAAATTACCAACACCGATGGCTTGTCCCGCCTTCCGTTGTCTGAAACCGCCAATGACAACGAGGAAATTTTTACTTTTCAACTGTTAGGGAACTGCCGATAACCGCTAAAGTTATTGAACGAGAAACCGCGAAAGACGCGATCTTGAGTGCTGTGCGCGAAATGACGTGGCACGGTTGGCCGCGATCTGTTAACGAACGGCTGCAGCCTTTCTTTGTTAGGCGCTTTGAACTTTCTGTGGATGACGGGTGCTTAATTTGGGCCAACAGAGTGGTGGTACCACAAACTTTGCAAAAGGAAGTTGTGTCTTTGCTGCACGAACAGCATATTGGTATTACCAAAATGAAGGCACTAGCAAGGTCCATGGTCTGGTGGCCAGGGATTGACAGCTGTCTTGAACAGATTGTGAGACAGTGTGACATCTGTCAAAGTGTTAGATCAGTGGGGCAGCCAGCACCCTTGACCCTTTGGAGGTGGTGCACGAACAGTTGGGAGAGAGCACATCTCCACTTTGCTCAAAAAGAGCACAACATGTTCCTTGTGGCTGTAGATTCGTACTCGAAATGGGTAGAGGTAAAAATCATGAGCTACACTACGGCTGAAAAGACGGTGGAAACAGTGCGGTCATTGTCTGCAAGTCATGGGTTACCATGTGAGGTAGTAACAGATAATGGGCCGCAATTCCGAGCAAAGGAATTCGAAGATTGTTTGTCAGCTAACGGTGTTAAGCACACCCTCACGAAGCCGTATTATTCGCAGTCTAATGGTTCAGCAGAACGCGCGGTACAAACTGTAAAGCAGTCGCTGCTGAAGCAGTTGTTAGAAGATAAAAGAAACAAAACTTCCAGGACCCTTCAACACGAAGTTGATAACTTTCTTTTTGGGTACCGAACGACTCCACATAACTTTACTGGGAAAACACCAGCAGAATTATTTTTTAAGCGCAAGTTGCGCACAAGGTTATCCTTCTTGAAACCAAGTCTTGAGGCCAAAGTTATGGCCAAATCGGAGAGGGAGGTTTGTCGAGCAAATAAGCGTCGTGACCTGCCACGTGTGTTTTGCGCTGGTGATTCTGTGCTTGTACGTACTGTCCGTGGTGAGATTGTGAAGTGGCGCCCAGGAAAAATTGTTAAAGTCCGCAATGACGTACTTGGTAATGGTTGACAAACAAAAGCGTTTTGTACACGCGGATCACCTGCGGCGTTCCTCACTAAAGCCTGAGCATGATGATGAAGCCCGTACTGAGTTGCCACATGCCAGTGATATATGTGAGACTGAGCGTCATGTTGCATTTCCTGAAAGAGCTCCATCGCCAGGACCATGTGATGACGCGCCGGTGCCTAGGCGAAGCACGCGTGTCACAAGGAAGCTGGAACGGTTGATGTACGATAAACTGTAGAACTGTGTGTGTGTGTGAAGGGGGGGGAAGTGTTGTATCAGCGATTTCGTATTCTACGCTGGCCTTGTCATGTATCAGCAGTGCGGAGCGCACGTTATCGCCTGCCGTGATAAGCAGCGCCGCCGGGTAATCTTTTATTCGTTTTTACTTATATAAGAGATACGCGAACTGTATGCACAGCAGATGCTGTCTGGCAATAAACGTGTTAAAACAGACTGCGTTGGCTTGCGAAGCGGTATTTTCACAAAAGTAAACTTAATGCTTCCTGTTTGGAAAGTTTGCAAGCTCCGCCAAAATATGGTCTGGATGCGAGTCTTTATACATATTGATCAATATACATAACAACATCTATAGGTATAATTCTCTCCTCTCACGATACATTTTTGTTTGTTTTTGCTTTTTTTTTAGTATTTATGTAGCAATGGCAGATCCAGAAAATCCAGCCGCGCCAAAGGCCAACCATACCATCAAAACCACGGATTCATCGAAGGTGCAGGTCATACTGGTTACGCTGGGCGGTACAGGACCTCACGTGTTCAGCGACGCAGGATCGGCTGCCATGAGCGGCACGGGAGACATTACTGGAATGAAGACTGCTGTCATCGAATTTGAGAATTTCGAGCCCATCAACGTTTCCATCGTAAGTCAAGTCTCTATTTATTTATATTTACCATTTTGTTCTTTCATGGCTGTCATATAGAGAGTAACTGTGAGGGCCAGGAGTAGACGAGAGCGTGCGAAAACGTAGCAGCGTCGATTTCTGCTTGGAATGATTGGTGGTTTAGACGCGAAGTTAGTTGCCTTTGTCACTACTCGCTCTTTGAACGCGTTCGAATGCCGAACGCGGGCGTTTGGTGTTCGGTGTTCGCGTTTGTACTGTGAGTAGAGGGAGACATTTGAATGAACATTCTTTAATTGAGATGCATCAAACGCGTTTTTTTTTGTACATATGATATTACATGTTTATTAAATTAAAATGCTATATTTGAGATCGTTCCTGGTGATGTCAGACGTTTTATTAAACATAAGAAGTTGCCGAATTTTGCCAACAATTATCGGAGGAACAGAAGATCAACATTTTATTAAAATTGTGTATTAGTTTTTTTTTCTCAATTTATTAGGCATAATGAAGCCTGTTTTGAGAGTGTCTCAAAAGAGCCATAGAAAAGTAAATTGGAACATGGCAAAATATTGAGTAAGAAAACACGTCATTTCCAACAGGTGGGATGAACGTCCGTTTCCACCTTAATCAATACTTAAAAAAAATAGAAAAAAGAACCGAAGCTTGCCGTTGGCGCTTTTTTTCATTTCAAGGGTGCTACCAAAATATCTTTGATTGTCGGAATTAAAAATGCAGCACCAAACCCGTGCCAGATTTGAGATAAAGGTACCCATTTATTTGAGTAACACATTTGTTAATGTCTTCCTTCATTTTTTTTTCTTTTTTTAGGAGACGGGCATGAAGAAAAGCGCATTGAAGTGGGGAATCTAGTTGGCATGGCCACGAAAAACCGATTAACAAGATTTGGGATATTCAGTGAAGCCAATTCAAAAGCCCTCGGCTGATTACTTTGATGAAAAAAACGATGGTCGTGAATTTAACCTAACGGGGAATAGGTACCATATATGATAATAAATATCGAAATCATTGAGTTTTTTACGCATTTATCCTTCATTTCACACAGATGTGTATACCGTACAAAGTGTCTCTTTTTAAGCTTAACAATTGTGTTTGAAGAGAGCCAGAAAAACTACATTAATGCGGTTTGTTTAGATGCGTTATATTGCCAGCAGAACATGGTATGCAAATTAACGTTTTGATTGTCGACACTTTACAAATGGTTGTAATGAGAAAATTTCTCCAGGTTATCGAAAACCTCTAACTTAGTCAATATTAGAGACTTGGAGCAGGTTGGAAGCAGGAGCTCTGGAGCGAGGCTACCGGCGCAGAAACTCGCCCGCGCGGTTCTTCCGTCTCTTATCCTAGCCCCAACCCGGTGCATAGTGCACGAGTAGACATTTCACCGCACCCCTGCTCTTCCAACTCGCTCAGAGTCCTAAATGTTGCTGATTTATTGCTCTTCGACGGCGCCCAGCAAGATTCTACTTGGAACAACGTCTATTCTTACGGAAGGAGAAGTTTATGAACAAATTAAGTTAAACATTTGAGTTATAGTATCCATAACCGACCGATACTATGTTTCCCTAGCCGTATAACTCACTTGCACAAACATCATAAAGTGCATTCACGACCTTTTTCTAACAAATGTTTATCTCGAAACGAAACGACCTGTATATAGAAACCCGATTTCAAGACATAAGGTTGTAAAATAGGGAAAAGGAGAGAAAAAACTAATAATATGGATTGATCTGAAAATAAATAAGCCCAGCACCTTAATTAAAAAAAAAGCAAACCATGTCGCCTCTGTAAGAAATAATACATAATCAGTAAATGCGATGAGAGGACCCTCTAATCAGTCACTCAAACCGCAACTGTAACCGAAACCGAAAACCGTTTAGGAACGAAATGTTTTCAGTAACCGTTACCTGAACGAAACCGTTAGTTGAAATTCATAGAAACCCCAACCGTAACCGTAAATTATTCACCTGTAACCGGTTTCAACCGATATTAACCAAAAAATAAAGCTATTAGTTTTTCTCAAGTATGACCTGGAAGAGAGATCTCGGAATGTTAGCGCCATTTTAAGGGTTGCTGTCGGCGAGTGGTGCACCTGATAATATATTTCCCTTCAATCCAACTTTAGCATTACGAATACTTGGTTGAACTCAGTGGTCGAGCTTATAATAAAGAAAGTCTCTGTTTCTAAATTTGCCACACTCTTACATCGCTGAATGTATGCAGTACGTGTCCCCTTCGGGGTGCTAACTAATAGGCTAGAATTCTTAAATATCCATCCAAGTTGGCTCTATCTAAACCACCGACGTTCCTGACATGCAGTAGCCAGGGTGGAGAAACTATGTAAATTGATCATAGTGCAGAGCTGGCGGAAAAGAAAACATGGTATTTATTAGTCTCAACGTGCCAGGATTGACGATTTTGAAACAACACAGAAGAAAATGTCAGAGTTTTGACACTGAAGATTTTTATGATGTACATATATAAAGAGTGACGAACGTTGACAAATGCTTCCGGTGATATATGGGCAAAAGTAATGTGCGCAGACACAGCTCCCGTAGGGTGATAAAAATAAAATTATAATTTAATGGCGAAAAAATCACGCAAGAAAAAGGGTGAAGTGCCGAAAAAAAAGTTGATTTAGTTAACGGAAATAATGAAGACTAGGCACAAGACCGCTAATTACGCGGGAAAGAAACTTTTAAAAAGGACGGAGTAAAGGTCAGAGTTAAAACACAAGAACTTACAAAAATAAATTTTTAACTGAAAAATAAAATAAAGAATAAAAAATTAAAAAAAAAATGAATGAAAATAAGAAGGGGGCCTGACGTCCGTCGACATTTCGCCAGTGGCAATGCCTTCTTCCTGACGGGAGCCCACAGGGCTGGGTTAGTTTTATAAAATATCTAGAGGGAAGATCTGTTAACGCGAAAGTTCGAAGGGGTTTGTAGGGAAAGGAAAGCACGGGGGGGACGAGTCCAATTTTGTCGCGATGAGGGAGGCGGTTCTGGGTTCTGTTCACAGGTGCATTGGTGGTATCAAGGAGCTTGTAGGGAAGGGAAACACAGAGGGGAAAAGTCCAATCTTGGCGCGGTGAGGCATGACGGTTGTAGGTTCTGTTCGCAGGTGTATTGGAAGCAGAAGGGGCTTGCAGGGAGAGGGAAGCGCTAGGGGGAATGAGTCCACTTTTGTCGTCCTCAACCAAAATCCTCAACCGTAATCCCGGTTGAGGATTTTGTTTGGGAGCTGCATTCCTGGGTAATTACGGTGCAGTGAGTGAGTCGTGGCGCCCTTGCATGACCGGGTCGTGTGGGGTCCTCTTCCTCCTTGTCCCCAAGGGCTGGTTTGTCCAGACCCAAGAAGGAAGAAAAAGAAGAGAAAAAGAAGAATTAAGCAGGGCGGGGGTGTCGCGGCAGATGGTTGTTTAAGCTGTGTATTGTTGACAGAGTACCCAAATCTTTGTTAATTTTGCACTGGAATTTATGAATTAGGAACGACTCGTGAATTTCTCTATTTGTTTGAGTCTTGAAGCCACTCTGTATGATGACTAGTTTTGCCTCCGTTATTACATGTCCATCCTGGCTAAAATGTTTGGATACTGGAAGGTCGGGTTTGCACCTAACGTCGGACTTATGGCCGTTATATCTTTGACGAAACGTGGATTTAGTTTATCCAATGTACTGCTCTTTACATTTGTGACATTCAATAAGGTTTATTACATTGTCTGAGTCACAGTCGACATCACTGCTAATCGTTTGACAGAAGTGCGAATTTGTGCTAGATACAATGTTAGTGGAAAGCATTTGACGGCTTGTCTTACAAGGAGATTTTCCACATGGTGTACATCCCGTTGGTTTCGAATGAGTTTGTTTATTTAGTTTTGCATGCACGAGATTGTCACGAATGTTTCGAGGTCGTCTAAAAACCGCTCTGGGCGCGTCGGGGAATATCTCTTTAAGTTTAGTCGATTGCTCTATCAAGTACAGATGTTTCCTTAAGATCGAGCGGATGGCTGGGAGGTTATTACACTAGGTTCCTTACAAAATTTTTTAATGGATTCCATTTGAAAGTTTATGGAGTCAACTCATCGTATCTTTTCGAGTCTCAATAGAAATGTAAATGAGTTTTGTAACGAATTCGTAGGAGTTTACAAAACTATTGGCCACCGCGTTCCAATTGAAGTTTCGACGTGGTACCGTATAAAGTTTCTAATGTATTTCATATGAATATAACCTGAAAGTCTATTGACACCGTTTCAAGTCTGTGTTGAAAAACAATTGGTTTTTAGCGAGCCCCTAAGGAGTTTACGAAAACTATTGCCACTGCGTTTCAATTAAGGTTTTGCCGTGCCACCTCATACGAATTTCTAATAGATCTCATTTGAAAGTCTAGATACACTGCTTTGAATCTCTGTTGAAAATCAAATATTTTATTTCTACCACGTTGTACTTGAGGTTTTGACGTGCCATCTCTATCGAAATTTGAATTGCAACGCAGTAGAAAAAAACATTTGATTTTCAACAGAGACTCAAAAGTGTATCTAGACTTTCAAATGAAATGTATTAGAAATTATACTCCTAGCATGGGTTTCTAGACAGAGGGCTCTAAGAGGAACGACGGCAAGAGGTTGCATGACATGTGGTCCGGATGTAACCGTTGTTTTGAGGGAAGGGGTAAGTGAGTGCAAGCGTCACTTATATGTATGCCTATATACGTATGCAGGGTTCAGAAAATGCCTGCATAAAACCGTGGGAAGGAGTAATAACTGGTTTGTTAAAAATGCGAAATTCGAGTATACTGTACACTGCCTTCGTGTCCATGGGGGACCTTGTACTGCCTTCGTGTCCATGGGAGACCTTGTACTGCATTCGTGTTCATGAGAGACCTTGTACTGGTAACCTAAAAAGAAAAAAGATGCACAGTTACACGTTGATCTGCTTATCTAAACTTCGATGTCCGAGCAAGGTATCCTGTTCACAGCGCAGCACTACCTCAGCGCTGATTCAGTATTACAAACCGGTACATCAGTCCTTTAGGAAAGGAGGACACTCAGAACACGATACAAGCCATGGAAGCAGCAGTGACTCGTTGCCTTAACAGGGCTGAGTTAGTGCTGCACTGTATGTGTGAACCAGCCTTAAATGCGGAAAGTCACTATTAAAATTCCTACACTTTTGCTCACCCAGGCACTTAATTTACACACTACCTTGATAGTTTAATAAGTGGCATTAATAACATTCTCAAGGGCACCATAATGCAAAAGTATAATTTGCCCCCGAGTCTGCGAGAATTAGTCGCTCACTGACTTTGCCGCCGCATTGCACTCTTTTATTTCGGCTTTTGAAAAGGTCAACCAAAGATAAGCGAGCAGATGTTGTCGCTTATGAAGTTTACCAAATTTGAACATAGAGAAGCTAAGACTTATAAGCATCTCGCAGAATTAATATGGCGATTCGGGCCAAATGATCCATGATCGTAGACAAGCGCCGCAAAACACAGATGGAGAATAAGTGGTGGTAAACATTGGCGCCGGTGTTTTATGTGCACTTCTTGTCCCTGTGTATTTTTATCTACTTTTGTTGTGTTTGTTTACCATCTTGAAGAATTTTTAATCACAACGGGCAGGAAGGAAACAGTAATAGGGTTCTATGCGGATTATAAAGCCATGCTCCAAGTGGGTGAGTGTCAACTGCAGCTTTCACAACAGTGGCAGATCCAAAAGGAAAAGGGTGGGGGGGGGGGGCGTCCGACCCCCCTTCCCTCAAACTAAGTGGACCCCCCTCCCTCCCCCCTTCTCGGAGGGCAATTTGACATGAGTGGACCCCCCTTGCACAAGAAAGAATGGGAGAATAGTATCCATAAACATTTTCCGCCCACCCCAAAACGGAGGTTTGGATCCGCTCCTGCTTCACAATCGATGCAATACACTAAGTTTCAATTATTGGGAGGGTGGAGACATCAGAGGCCCAATTCAAAAAGTAAACTTACGATAAAAAAGTGCGTATGACAAAACCCGAGAACAA